CCTCCATATTGACTAGTTTACACATTTTCATGCTATTTCTTCAACTCACTTTGAATCATTTATTTGAAGAATATGGCCCAATAAAATGTCTATGTCCAGATTACAAGACTGAAATATTTAAGTTTATTTTATCATATTGAAAAGTAATAAAATAGATTTGAGAAGAATATAGTTGTTATGAATAAAAATCAAGACAAAAATTACGCTTAGATTAGAATTACGATTAGAATTACGCTCTACAAAAATATACCTTAGAAAAAAACATTCAAAACTGGTTAGTAAATAACATTTTAGTAAAAATAATATCAAGTTATACATTAATGTTATGTATTTTATTTATTACTTGTGTTAATAAACTTTGTCACGTTGTGTACAAATTTCAACTAAACTATTAATTATACATTTACTAATACTTTTGATTCATTTCTATAGTACTGACTATGTCCAATTCGGTACCAGAAACCACCCTTAAATTGAAGATTGAAGCATTTTTACTGCACATAAAAAAAAGGTGACAAAAAAAATATATTATACCTATAAAACCAATATATTCATCACTCACAATGTAAAATTATAAAATATAGACTGATCTTCAAAACAGAAAGTTATAAAAATAAAACAAAATAAAACTATAAGAAAAAATAACTACAATATATAATAATATATTATATATTAACTATAATTATAAAACTATTTATTGTCAATTTGTATAAACAAATAATATATATTATGTTTATTTTTTTTCAAGTCTCACAGTTATTATTTGTTTAGTGTTCCGTTGCCATGATAATTATTTGACGAAACTATTTTTTGTTACTTATTCATTCGTTTGGACGAAATCACTTCAGCCATACATTTTAGATTTTAATATTTTATGAGAGGGGCGTGAATACACACGTTATGTTTATCCATCTTAAATATCAGAAAGCTTATTTCCTACCCTCATTCAAGCGAAAAACAGGATAACAAGACCATTTTACTGGATTCAATGTACGTTATTTTGAGAGTAAGTATTATGCCTTAAGGATGCCATACAAATATTATAAATGTTTAATAACTGTTCCTTATTAGTATAAAGTATATCAGTGTATGTATAACGTCTTAAATAACTTTTCTAAACCATATACCGTCAATCAACGAACAATAAGAGAAATATTTTTTCATCAATCAAATTATTTTTATTTTTTCATATCACGCATTTTCATGCAAATCAATTTCAATCATTTCTCTATAATTGTTGTTATATAATCAGAATCAGAGACCGAAGTGGGAAAGTAATGGGATACTATTATGGATACTATTAAATTACAGTCCCTGGTAATGATTCAACAACTTTATTAAATAATTCAAACAGTGTGTATTGAATAAAATAACAAAAAATAAAATAAAATTCAAAACAATTATTTTTTATATTTAATTAACTGTTAAAGTTATAAAATTATTAATTTAAAAAATAAAAACTAGGTTGTCATCTTAACATACAATAATTACAGCTGTAAAATTATAATATGAAAAACGTTCAGCATTTAAAAAAAAAAATATGCAAAAAAGGACCTATTCTAATATACGAGTATATATAGCCACTATGTACCTACCTACGTAACTAGTTAAACCATTTTTTTAATTATTATGAGCTAGTGGTGACCAAATACGGCCTGCGATCATTTACTGTTAAGATATTGTGTCTAGAATATAATATAATATTAAATTAAAAGAAAAAGTACAAATTCTCGGCCTGCCAAGAAATTCACGGCAGGCCATCGGACATAATATGTATTACTCTATGTATTTCATCAAATTAGGCCAATAATAATAATTACAATATATTGTTTACGAAGGAGATGTTGAGTCTGGGGGAAATGGAATTTTTCTAATTTTAAATGCGCGGAAGCTGAGAGCTCGTTAAAAACTATGCTCCGAGCATTTTAACTTTGGTTTTATCTTTGACAATGTATTTTTAATATTGACGATAGTGTTTATTTTGTCTTATTTCGGTTAAATATTACGAGATTAGTTTTTTAGGAGTAAAAGTGAAATCAAAAGTTTTTTTACGATGAAATTAAATTGTTTGCTGAATTATATACCTACATACCATTATATTTCCGTACTGAACTTAAAATGTTGGTTGTAAACTTGTGGATGTACTAACATTTTTTAAGATAACGTTACTCAAAGATATTTTGGTATCAGATGTACCCAAAATATAGGTAATAATTTTATGTTCAAAATCATCTAGCTATAGTCGATACAGCTGCTGAATTGTAATTTTAATAGTTACAATTTATAAACAGATACATATCGCAGTCAAATGTATAATAAGACAATTTTAATAAAACTTTAAAGTTTAAATATTAAAAATGAATATATTTTAATATTACATTTGTATTATATACTAGTATTATTATATGAAGTAGGCTGTTTTTTTTTTTTAATTTGTCTGAATTGTTTATTTTGTACATATATTATCGAGGATCGATAGGTGAGTGTTTATATCAATAATAACAGATAATTATAAAATTATTATATATAAAAAAAATATTTAAACCGTTTCATTTTCATATAGTATTACGAAGTTCGAAAATGTTTTAATATTATTTTATTTTATTGTTTATGCTAACTGAATTGTTTTAGGTACTAGAGTGTGTAAATAAGTACGGTACTTAAAGATAGTAAATTCAAAAAACGGAATATTTATAATACAGTTTTGAAATAATAAATAAACAAGAACAACACAATTTTACAAAAAAAAAACACTCAAATATAACTCATTGGACGATACAACTTATCGTCGATAAAATTAACTACTTATTCTTAAAATTATTGAAGTTTTCTTTATTATGTTTATTAGATACGACTTATTATGAGTTGTAACCAATACATTTTCTTAAATGCAATGAATATACAATTTTATTTAGCTACTTGACAGTATACTTAAGGCATAAACAGAAACTAAAACCAATTTTGCAGTTTTGGTTTTAGTTTTTAAAGCCAGGTTTTTTATAATAACGATTTTGTTTGCTGGTTTTAACACCCAAAATGAAGCCTTAGGTTTTGGTTTCGGTTTTAAAAACCGGCATGAACTACTGATTTGGGTTAGCAACTCATGTAACGGTTTTATGTATGAAAAAAATGTCTTACGATTATTTTCATTATTATTATTATTTATTGCAATAACTTTTTATTTTTGTTCATTGGACATAGGTACTTATTTAACAGTTAACTATACATAACTTTTCCTGCATACAAACAATTTAAAAAATCAAGAAAAATCTTAAATGTATTACTTATCATTCAATAACGAGTGTATCATACTTGAAATAAGATCAGGCAAATTGTAAACGTTTATAACTTTAGTCTTTAAGTTTTTATTAAAATAAATTATAAAACAATAACGTTCATAAACAATATGTTAAATATATAAAAATTTGAAGTATAATAGTTATGAATAGCACTAGAAAATTAATGACATTCTAGGTACTTACCTGTAAGTTATTTCTAACTTATAATGTACAAACTGAAATGTTTTATTCTAATTGATAATTCAAACCATTTTTTTTATAAAACATGTTTAAATTTAAATCACAGAATCACAATACTGAATTTCACCAAGTTCAAGATCCTTACCAGCTGATCATCTTATTGAAATGAAATTACAAATATCAAATACCATATTTCAGAATCGTAAACAGTGAACTGATAATTTAAATTAAATAGGTATACCGTATACGAGTGACATATCATTTTTACGTATGATTGTTCCTAATTACTATCAGTTTCGACGACTGGTCGACGTCCGACACTAAAATATGTTTTAATAAGTAATACATATTGAAACATTTAATTAAATTAGTTGATTACACAACTATAATCACTATTAGTTATTAAATATTCTGGGAAATTAAAAATATAATTTAAGTATGTACTATGTAGTACCAGCATATCAGTTATATATTTATTTATCTTAATAAAAAAAATTGTGTTACACGCTGTTCGCAGGCCATAATGTTATAAGTGGAATTCAATTTTTATTTATCATGCAGAGAATTGTATATTTAGATTCACAATTACATTCTCAGATTATTGAGGCTCCATTTATTTTTGGATATTCTTAATTAGCCTAAGTATCATTAATCGTTTAATATCAAAACCGGTTAACCAGTATGAAAAAAACGGTTTCGGTTTTGATTACCATTTAAACAATTATCGGTTTCAATCATGTACTAGACGACCGGTATCTTGTTTTATTGCTCCCGTTCTGGTTATGGTTCAGATAAATCGTTAAAACCGCTTATTATTAACCGGTTTCCGTGTAGTATTAGGCATGTGGCTATTGTTCCTGAAAAATTATATTTCTCTAAAGGAAGGTATTTTTCTAAATATCTGATAAATTTACTGTCAACAGCCAAATTCTCTCATGGCTAAACAAATAAAAAATTCAGATCGAGATATCATATTGTGTCAGAATTGTAGAACTTGTCCCGAGATGATAAATGAAATAACCTAAATGACTTAGGTACCTAGACTTGAATATACATAATTGCTATGTAAATAAGTTTCATTAAATAAGTCAAATTTTGTTTCATTTGTAATTCTTATGTATATACCTATCACACTTAACAAAACTATAATAATGTATCATGTAATCTTTAATATTTATATTATATCATATATTTATATAATTATATACATTTATTTGGTGTATTACGCTTCTTGAAAAGATATAATCAATATAGATAGATTATAAATAAAATATTTTATTGTCGATGCACTTCAAGACGAAGCAAAAGTCTCAACAATAAATTAAATATATTATTATTATTGAGCGACCTCTCGAAAGGGGTATGTGAAGTACCTACAAAATTCTACAAATTTTAATGAGGTCATTATTTTCACTGAAATACTGATAGTAATTAAACATTTTGAACCCAGAAGTAGGTATCACTTGGACTTTTATCGCACACTCAATAATCAAATAAATAAATGTTCGGTTATTTTTTTTTTTAACTTTCAATTAATTTACTATAAATGGTAGGTCGCTGTTAAGTTTAACGCAATAGTGTGTACGGTATCATAGATATAAGTGCGTATAATATTATTATTAAATAGGAACATTATTACTGGTTGGAAATCGGAATAACCAACCAATACCATACAAAATGGGTAAGTTTTACTTAGGATTTATCATTTTAATCGAACCTCAAGGAAATAATACGTTAAGGTTGAAGCGTTGAAAACCTCAAAGCGCGGTGAACGGTAAACATAAAATGTCTTCATAAAATATGTCTTATAATTGTTGATCAGCTTTTGAGCATTGATACTTCATATAGTCTAAAGTTATATAACTAATGAGACGTACCAAAATATGGCTAAGAAATTAAATGGTTGAAAATCGGTTAAGCTTTTTGTCTATCCACAATATTGAATACCAGTTATCAAAAAGTATTGATAATAAAGACATTATTATAAAATTTGGTGAAAAGAATGGAGCAAATAATTTTACAATAATTTTGTAGTGATGTTTTTAATACTATAACAAAAAATGTAAAATATAATGAATGTAAATAAATACTTACCCACGTCTTAAATTAGGTAATTATATAAATATTTGTTTGTAACTACTTAATGAAATAATATTATAACTATCAGTCTTGATAAAATTATTAAAAATATACAATATAAAACATACTAACATTATTTATTTATACCATATATTTGGGGGGGGGGGGTGACTTATCAATTTTGTTCATTTTGTAGTTTTTTTTTTGAGGGAGGGTGATAGTGCAGCTCTCAGCGTTTTAAATGTACTGAAGTACATTCAAAATAATAGACCCCCCCCCTGAAATTGTAATGTACTTCCACCTCTAGACGGATAATTTCTCATGAGCTTCATAGGTGAAAGGCATGGCCGGTAATTCCTAAATACCGGATCTAATTGCATTAAAAACACACACAATTTTGTATAGTTATACTAAAAAATCCGTAAATATTGCAAAACAAACTGCACTATAAAATAATAAAAATTCTAAAAATGTTTAATGTCTCTTATATAATAAGTAATGATTACAAAATAATAAATTAATGTGGTTTTTTTGAAATAAAATTGATAAGTATAAAAACATTTTCAAATTATATTCCAAAAAATATTTAGCAACATTTTAGATTGAAGATTTAAACATTCAAAATTAAATAACGTTATTTCGGGCAGTGCGATAAATTAATAAAGATATAGGTACCTAGCCTGTCTTAGTAGAGGGACGGAGGAGGTGTCATGGAATATTATGATTGTTATGTCATAACAGGGCCGTGTAAAATACACTACTAAATAGTGCAGTAATACAGTATTATTCCATTACATAATTATTTTGAAAATCCAAAATATGTAGTTTTTCTCTTGGAATTTGTGAGGCATCTGTCGATACCCAGTGTCCGTAGAAACAGCACTTTCTTGTTATTATTTTTAAAACGTAACCTGTAGGTATAATAGATGCAACCTAAAGTTTTATCCGTATTTCAGAGAATGTTTTATTTTACATTATTATTGTACCTATCGTGTGTTAGTATTTATTTTATTTTAGTATAATATTATTAATATTATACGTTTCCAAACACTTTACAACTCAGTATAAATGCCTTATTGCTCTGTGTTAGGAAGTTCGGTGTCAATTCTCACAAATATACCTACGAATCTTATCCACCATTCATGGTTTGGTTTTCAATGACATAATATGAATATAAATAACACAATTTAGTAAATCTAACTCATCCACTTCGATCGTTGATAATAACATAGTATAATGTGTATTCAACAAGTAAATAGGTACACGTTCAGCCCACATTATGCAAAAAATGAAATATACTTAATTTCAATACTCAACCATCAATTACAATTAATACATAAAAATTGTCAAGACCTACTCGTGTTGTGTACATTTTGATTTAGATATAATTTACTAATACGTTGACCGCTTTGACATTTCAGGAGTTTTCAGTTTGGTATCATTAGCGTTATTCGCCATCGGATCTTTTGCTGCACACGTACCGAAGTCAACCGCAAACGAGGAAAGTTTTGTTGGAGGAAAGAAATGGGTAGTTTTGGTAGCTGGTTCGGAAGGATGGAGCAATTACAGACATCAGGTGTAAAAAATTATTCGTTTAAAAATACATTTTTTTCATGCTTAAGGTGTGGTTATCACTTATCATCCAGCAATTATATTATTTGCATTAGGTACTGCATTACGCGTTTATCTATTTACATTAACTGTATTATCATCATTAATTTACTTGGGTTAGTCACTAGTGTTTATTCTTTAAAAATAAAAAAACTTTAAGTCAATTTCTAGATGACGAATTAAAAATGTATTTATTTTTTATTGATTTATTTTTTGTTAAAAACAAATCATACTATGCTCCTATTCACATAAAGGTACAATAATTATTAACAACTTGGATTTTAATGTTTTGTTTTGTTCGTTATTTAAAAGGATTTGTTGGTAATCTAATGTTTGACCAGAGACGTGTAACTAAAAATTAAATTCAATAAAAATATATGAGAATAATAGTAGGTAGGTATCACTATATTTTGTTTACCACAAGCATCCTTGTACAATGTACTTGGATACATTATTATTATTTATATTAAAGTGGATTAAAATTACAGTAGGTGTCGTGTGGCTAAGTCCTATATTTAGAAAGATAATATTGTAGAATTTATAACATCTATTACAAGATTTTGACCTTTCAATATTAGTTTATTTGTTTGAACTAAGGAGTAGATGCTTTTTTTTCATTATGAACGGCTAGTTACATTTGCTATTGAGTTGTACCTTCAAATTTAGTGTTTAATTACATTTTGTACGTTTGAGTTAATTAATACAATAAATATTATTCTATAGGCGGACATATGTCATGCATACCAAATAGTTAAAGAAAACGGTATACCAGAAGAAAACATCATAACAATGATGGTGGATGACATTGCTTACAATTCAAGGTAAATATTTTTGTACATTTTATAGTATCTATTTTAAATATCTAATGTTAAAACAATATAACATCGATGATATAATTAAAGGTAAGTTGCCATTTTGGATTACTCTATGTTCTTAAGCATTTTATATTATCATTTTCTAAAAATTGTAGAAATTCGTATAGTTGTTATACGAGGGTCTTGATAGTTATTATTGCCGATTGACAATAATATGACTTATAATCTGCTATAGGTTAGGTATAATCACTATTTGTTTTATAGCCACTGGTATTTAAATAATCATAAAAATATGTGAGCACCGAACAAATATTAATATTTATAAATAAAACATAATAAAATGTAAAACTATAAAATGTAGGTTTAACACACAGATCTCATTTAACATACACCAGCTGACGCATGGCCCATCGGCCATCCAAAGATTATGTGTGCAAACTTTAAACTTTATACTGAAAAAATAAAATGTGAAATATGTGCCAATGGCTTATCATAATATGAGATAGTATCATAGTTGCTATATCTACCTAAAATGACGAAATTGGTAATATTAAACATGTCACCTACCATCATTACATGAAATAACTACATTACATAATTACCTAAATATATCAGAAATTTAACACCAGCCTGGGCATAGAAAGGTAATTTTTCAAAAATTCCATTCATACACAAAACTGAAAATAACTTACCAGCTATGTCAATATTATATTATTATGACATCGTAAATAATATTTAATTAGACTTAGGTACTTAATACGACAATAATATCTAATAGTGTCTAGGTATATGTTACGGGCAAAGCATAAGACTGGGAATGTCATGCAATGACTAAGATCTAGTGGGCAATGTAGAACATAAATTGATATTTCTAGTTTTATTTAAAGATAGTTAAATACTAAAGAAAAACAATTATTTTACAAGTAGTTAAGTGATATTCAACTAAAAATTTAAAAGGGTGAATGATTTCATATTTTATTATTATTAAAACACTGAATTTTTCGATGACATTTTTAAACATACGTTCGTCAACAACCTGTGCTTAATTTATAATTGTTGGCATAATTCTGTCGGCGGACGAGGTTATACTCGTAGTCTAGGACTCTAGGCGGTAGTTATAAAGCAGGCATTATTTCAGCATATCGCTATTCTGTGAGTTGTTAAGTTGTACACGATGCCATGGGTAATAGATGCATACACCTAAGTATGCAGGTAACTAGAACGAAAGTAACAGACAAACAATTAATATTTTGGAATTTTGGAAATGTCAAGGTCATCAAAATTGATATTTATGAATATTATTATTGAGTGCATTTACAATTTTAATTACCCACCTTGATAGTGTAGTTGATAGTTAATGAAAAACAAGTGACCACTATCGCCTGTCAAGGTAAAAATAATCTCATATTATAGTAAAATAGGAAATGAAACACGAATATTTTAGTTTCGAAAAGTATAGGCAAATTTTAATGATTTTCACAACCTCGACAATAATATAATTTATCTGCACGAATGGTACCCTCATTTTTTTTAAAGTTAACATTTTCCGCGGTAAATCAACCGTTCTATAAATTGCCTAGGGATTTAATTATATACCATTCCCGGGCAATACATAAAATATATATTTGTAAAATGTTTCATTTTTATATTACCACAAAATGTCATAAGTTTTACATTATGCCCGATCAATGTATTGAATGCCCGGCTTTTCCACATCGTAACATCTATGTAGAGATTTTCTTATATTAATTAACGATGACGGGCAACCATATATTTTAGATTCTGAGTAAGACAGTGTTGTACTGACAGTGAATGTACTGATTGCGTAAAATGCTGTGTTTTTATTTTTACTTTTTTCAACGTTGGGGGTGATTTATGGAAGAACAGTGGACCAAGTTGATACTTTGTTTGTCAAAAGTAATAACTGATAAATTATCAGTATATTTTAAAATACTTACTCGGCTAAGCTGATAAATAAAAATGAAATAAAAATTGGAATGTTAATGCAAAATCAGATTTTGATAAAACCAATAATTTTTTTTTTTTTGTATTAATGAAAAACAAATGACCGTAAATACTTTAAATGTTCACAAAATGTTTAAATTAGCATTTTCTGTGTATGATCAAACTTTCAAAATAACTTGACTTTTTTCAAGCTATTTTTAGACGTTAAGCTTTTTTAAATTTTTATTTGTATAAATATCAATAAAAAAATTTTACTAGGTCAAAGAGCTTGAAAATACATAAGGTGCCTCATAAAGAGTTTTCATTTTGAAATCCAAAAAATCTAAAAATCATATGAGTTATAAAAATCATTTACAGTTTTGTTTTTATAGAAATTTGTTGTTTAGCTTTGAACAAAATAAGATATTAAAAAAAAATAACAATTCTATAATAATTTGTTCATTACTTAGTTATAATGCATTGACAGCGTCATTATTAACTATCAAGTTCAAGTGTTATTTTTGAAAATAAAATAAAAAATAACTTTAATTATAATGAAGTTACTTTTTTTAACTACCTACGTGAGTTTACTTAAAGAAAACTTAATAATAATTGAATCACTATTTTCAAAGCTAATTTGTAATGTAAGTTTACCAATACTACATATTATACCTAATTGTGTATCTGTTTACAATATGTCTGTATAAAAGGAATCCAACGCCAGGAAAGATCATTAACAAGCCCAAGGGCAATGACGTTTATCAAGGAGTTATAATCGACTACAAAGGAGACGTAAGAGACTTTTTACTTAATAATCCAATACGCATATACTGCCAATTAATTATGGAAATACAATGTGAATACTCTTCACAAGCGCATTCTGATAACGCACTAATAATCGTACTCATACAATGATCTCAATAATCCGATAAATATAATATCTCAATAAGACATAGTATGTTAAATTATGTATTATATGTACATCATAAGACTTGTTATCTATAAGAATATAGAATACACAGTTGACGGAAATAAAGAGTAGATACATGATAGCTTCCTCAAGGATAATATGACTTTTCAATAAAAAAATGCTGTACCGTTAAGTATAGATATCATATTTATAGGAGTAAAAAACTAGTAGTTGGAGATACGCCCCCCCGAAAAACGTGAAGATTTTACACCACATTAGAATAAGTGGAAAATTGTTATCTTTACCTACATCATAATCTTCATCCCCCTCCCCCCCCCCACCACAAATCTCAAACACTATTTGCACCTAAGAGTTTATCTAATCTTACAATATATTACTACCTATATTAGATATATATACCAAATGGCTTACCTTATTTTTCTTACCTATTGATTCATGGATCATCTATTCATCAAAATAAACATTCTATTCTAATCATAGGATGGTAATAGATATGAGACTGTTGTATTTTATAGATATACTTACAATATTTTTCACCTAATTCAATTAATATTGTATATAATAATAAATTATTTGTGTTAAACATTTTTCAAGTAGTATTAGGTACCTACCTATGCTACCTATATGGCGATTGGCTATAACTACTTCGGAAAAATCAATAAATTAAAAATTAAAAAAAATATATTTATGTAATTTATTGTAAAAGTGCAAACTTAATTTGAACTACTATAAATATTTGATGTGATTCTTTTGTTTTACTAGGACGTGAACAAATCAAATTTCCTAAAAATCATCACTGGTGATCAAGCAGGCATGCGATCTATTGGAACTGGCAAAGTCGTTCTAGGGTAAATTGAAAATCAAAATAATCATAAAAAAAGTTTTTTTTTATGTTTAAGGAGTAAACTATTTTACATTTTTCGAAGCTGTAATATTCGAAATTAAACTGAGGAAAAAAAATAGTTTAGTTATAATGCAATCAAATATAATAGTTGTTATTTTTTAGGCAAAACGCATTTTGTTGAAAACATTTAGTGCGTTGCAAAAACTACAACGTAAAATACAATTAGAAAATAGCGAAGTAGGCTTTATCTATTAAAATATGATTTAATATAATACATTTTTAGGTTAAGTATCTCGTGTTGTAGTCAAATTAAATAATTAATTACGAAATTTTTATGAACACATATTTATTATTAATCATATTTTTTTATTAAATTGTTTATATACAGGGGACAACTCGATAGAATTTTCATTAATTTCGTCGATCACGGTGCGTCTGGATTATTAGGTTTCCCGGATGATTATTTATATGCTGATGAATTGAACGATGCGTTTACTACTATGAACAACAATGAATCTTATAAAAAGGTAACATTTTGTCGTCAAAAGATTTATAAAATGTTTGTTTAAAACATTAAAAAGTTAAAAACAGCCAAATATTTACCTTAAATGTCTAAACAATCTGAGCATAATCGTTTTATTTTTTCGATATCATTAACACGAAAACAATTATTTATGTATCTAAGTCAATTATTATTTATTGTTTATTAGTTTTGATTTTTTGAACAACTTTTTTCTCAAACGTGATATAAAAACAATTTGAATAATTTCCACAAATTGTCTTTTATATGATTAAAAAATGTTTTCTATTATTTATCACTTCATGGTTTTATTTTCTATATAATATCCTAACGATTACGTAACAACTAACAATGGTTATAGGTACTTTAATTACCAAGGTAGGACCAGTATTAAGATTTAATAGTTACTTTGGAGTACTTTGAACTTAAAACTGAACAATTTGGTTTTTATTAAAATTACATATGTTATATTATGGTCAACTTTTATTAATAATTTTTTTTTTTTGGGGGGGGGGGTGAACCCCCTCCACCCACTACTCACACCCCCGTTATTAATCATAGTTAAATGTTTTATTATAATATTTCCTACTTGAAAAATGTCCGTGAATAGATGTTGTTGTACATTGAAGCGTGTAAAGCTGGATCTATGTTTGATGGTATACTTAGTGAAGACACAAACAGTAAGTTTTATATTTTATATTTTTAATTATAGAACACTTAAAATATTCAAATACTGCTCATATCCTTTTCGTAACTCCAAAAACTTGACATTGGCCATAAGATCATTATTATTATTACTATTATTATTTATTATTATGAACATTTATACTACTACTATACTTTTTACTATAAACAGTAAACAAATTATTCAATATTTAGACTGCATGATTTTTTTTTGTTCTCAACAAATAACCAATGCTTGAATTGAGGGGGTCGGAGTGGCTCTTCTTTTAAAATAATATGTATACGTACTTCTCTACTCCTTCTAATTTAATACTCATCAATAAGACATTAACATTTTTTTTAAATTTGTATTAACATCCCTATTCTAATATTTTCTAATTCAATCACTGCAAGTCTGAAATATGTTAGACCAATATCAATATCGGTAATCAAAATTGTCCACATTGCATACTAAATTATATTTGTTTGTGCAACATGTGTACTAACCTAGTTCAAAGTCATATTAAACTATAATTTATTTTTATACAAATGTTATAAGTTGCGATTAAAATATTACAAGTTCGATTAAAATAAGAATTATAATATACTTCATTTATTTAAATATTTTTTGAAACTAGTTTTCGCTGTAACCGCGTCTGGGCCTAGAGAAAGTTCATACGGTTGCTACTGCCAGTCTGAATCTGGGCCGTACAAGACATGTCTTGGAGATCTGTTCAGTGTCACATGGATGGAAGATTTAGACAAGGTATACGTCATTTTCATACATCGACAGTAGTCTTAAACTTTAATATACTGTGCATCTATCCAATCAAATACATTAAAATACATAAAATACACTTAACACTCATTAAACTTAGGCAATACATCCTTAGATAAGTTAAGGGCTATATTATATAGCACCAAACTACCGAGTAACTACAGACGAGTCCACCTATTCGGATTAGTGATAAATGCTCAAATAATGTTAGGAATTTTGAGACTATGCGTTCCACCAATTTGACATTAATTGCCAATGATATTTCAAAAATTGTATTTTTAGAATTTTCCAACAGTTTTCTGTACGATTGCGAACATCAATACTACCAGCGTCCACAACCCAAAAATCTGAGTGTTTTACAACACCAGTTAATCAAAATCATTTCTTTATATTATTTTGTTTTAATTCGGTAAATGATATAAGGTACATCAAATTATCGATTTTTGGTGATTAGTATAAATATTATTTACCTACTAAGTATTTTATATCCTTCATTTTTCAACCAATTCTGTATATTTTTATATTTTAATAATGTTATGTAACAAAATTGTCAACACAAAGGTTTAATATAATATTGATTTAAATGTCTTCATTTCTATTCAGCCTACGTCGAAACAGTCGGCAAGGAAACGAACCGTTTTCAACGACTTCACTGTGACCAGAACCAACGTCACCAAAAGTAATGTCATGATTTACGGAGATTTGGACACAGGAAGCGAAAAACTATCTTCGTTCATCGGTTATAGAGGAAGTGGCGGCGACGACTCGTCGTTTGTGCAACAATCAGACGAGCTGAATATAAAAGTAAAATACCATATTATTTGTATTATTATTATTTTCTCTACGATTATTATTGAGTTTATCAATACTTTACCACTCACACGATACACGATAGTATTATTTTATTATATTGTAGAACACAGCGTCCAGTCGAGATGTGCACGAAAGCAGCGTAAAATATGAATTGGAGCATGATATGTTGTCACTTCCAGAAGCCCTCAAATTGACAGCGAAATTACGTAAAAATAATGAGGTAATTTCAATGATGATACATTTTGGGAGCACATTATGATCGTATACAGATCCAGATCATATACATTTTTATTCCACTTGTCAGTGAGCATTAGCTCAGCACAAGGGAAGGGTTAATTAGGCTTAGGACTCTTCTAAGTTCTAAGTGACTATTCCTGCAATGTTTCGAAATATTCTAATTCTTGTCAACCGCAAATCGTTCATTTACGCGTGCGTTTTAAAATATTCATTTGTAGGTATCAAAAAATGTTTGAATTTTGTCCTAGATGAGATCAGTCATAGATTCTGTGTTCCGGGACATCTACTCGGAGGTCGTGAAGGAAAGACCGGACGTCAAGAGCGAAATCGGTGAATACGACGAACCCAACAATCTAAAACTGAATTTGGCCATGTTCCCGTGCTACAGAAGTGTTTTGAATCTAATCACCGAGAACTGCTTTTCTTTGCCAAAGGTGAGTGTTGTACAGCATATTGATGTCACATTATCGTTTAATTACGTCTTGTTAGAGATTTCTATGTTGTCGAGTTGTACACGAGTACGAATTAAACGGGAAAAAAACTTGCTTTACGCGAATAGTAATAAAAGCGTTATTTGAGCAAGTATTGGTTTGATCGAACACAATATAATATTAAAATTAATTACGAATTGTACACTAATAACTTATTTGCACACACGCTTGAACAATAGTGCAACTATAAATTTACGAATAATATTATAATGGTGTACGGTTATTGTTCACAGAATCCATACGTGTTGGATCACTTAACGGTTTTCGCTAACATGTGTGTCGCCGACAATCAAATCCACGAAATGGTCGGCAGTATTGTCACTAAATCATGTTCGAATATTCCAAAAAATATAATAAACGTACAATAAAATCGTGTGTTAAAATGTTATATTATTAAAGTGTTATATTATTATTCAATATTCGGTGCGTTAGTTTAATACTTTGAATTTCCACAATATACTTCGATGTTTAGTAAGTGCATAGTAAAATATAAACTTATATCTGTTTTAGTTTTTATATGCATTGCTTTGAGAATTTTCATTTCAAAACAAGACTGAACTAATAGAAAACCGTAATTTATATTACTCTGTAGTCGACTGGTATGCTGTTTATTAAAGGTAATAAGTCATACAACTTTTAACTAGGTGTACCTATTACGACAGTAATTCAACAAGAAATTGCTTGTCACATAATAACTTTGTTTTGTATCAACCTACCTATATATTATTATTGTTAACAATAATTATTATGATATTATAATTACAAATTAGTTATTCCATGATCGTGTACGATCAAAGTCTCAAGAGTTTTATAAATTAAAACTCTCCTAAAATAAAAGTAGGTACTTACTACTTACTACTTAAATTATTTACATTTTTACTTTAAAAAACTGTTTAATACAACTTTAGCGTTTTAACCATAATTGAAAAAACCTTAACAATTTATTTTTAATGAACAAATTAATATAATAGTAATTTATTTTAGATCAAAATTATAATAATAATTTAATAAATAATAGAATCATAACTGTAATATTCAAAATATTCTTAAAATTATATTGTTCGTAGTTAATATATAGATAGGGGCGATGACGACGATAAATTAGACTAGAAATGAAATTTAGGTACTGTACGTTCATACTCAATCTCTGATGAATCTCGGTTCGTCGTGGACAGCATAAGCAAACAACCTTTACCTACCTACATAATGGAGTAATGGGATTTCAAAACTTTAAGATGCAATATCAAGATTTGATACTGGACCCCTTTTTAGTGCAAATTGTGTATTACATAACAATAGAATATCTACTACGCGAACTACGCAACGATTTTGGGTCTTTTCAGGGATCACTCTCGACATTTCCTCTTTGCTGACAATATTCTAAAACTTTAAAGACATTTCCACCTGAGATGTGAATTGTGATCGATTTGGTTATATTTTATTCTATTTACCTAATCAGATTTCCGGATGAATAATTGTTATTCAAATCACGATAAATATATAACGGCATAGGTCTAGGTTAGGTCCGTACTCAAACTTATCAGTATCAAAGTATTTTTTTTTTTCCGAATTCATATCAATTACCAAACTAACCATTTTCATATATCTTATAACACTATATCTTCCTATAAATCATTCGGATCCTATGGATCTATACAATACTATTATATAATACTAGCTGCTACCGTGCACTTTGATGCCCTTAAAAATGCCACCACATAATTACAATTACTCAATTATAATTTATAGTTACCTAAGTTACTAAAATATCTATATTACATTTTACACTAGTACTAAACAATATTTTATGACTGATATGATAGAACTGTTCAAAGGTTTTGTCAATTTCTTATTTTTCGATTCATCGATAGATCGATAGTCTCTTGTACATAATAAATGTACCTATATATAAATTTATAAGCAACAGGTAGGTAACACTTTAACAGAAAAACAATTCAAGTAGAAAATTATGGCTGGAAGCTTAGGTACCTATATGTTTCTAACAGGCAACGGATTCATCCTATATGAATATATTATGATGATAACATTGATAACATACGGACATACGGTACAATATTGTAACGGGAAAATTATGTTTTATAGAAACCCTAATACATAGGTACCTGGTACCTACTTTGTTTAAACATTCCTTATTAGTCTGTTTTATTAATATAACTATACCAAATAAAAAAATGTTGACATCCCCAAGAGTCCTTTACTCCGTTTTAAGCAATAGTTCTTCCGAAAATCTTTAAAACAGTAACAAAGAATATAAATCTTTGACTATACCTTTGATCCCTATTTAGTTAAGAATTATTATATGCTACTAGCTTACATCAACTAAATTATATAATATATGTACGACATCTTCTACCTAAAACTATACTTGTTATATATTTATTTTAAAATAAAAAACCATCATAATAACCTAATATTCGAAGTCGTCGCATATGTTTTAATCGATAAGGTGCCTTCACCAAAATGTAACGGGGATGGGGAACCTGTTGTAAACATAAGTACTTTAGTGGAGGTTTTAAGATCCTTTTGAATAAATAACTTAAACCTTAGCTAGAGAGCTTCAGGAAAGATAGGTAGTTCAAATCATAAGTTCCAGCTGATATAATTTATAATCACACAATCTTAATCAAATATTATTACAATAGTTTAATTAAATATCATACTACATTATAGGTATAATAACGAAGGACCTTCAAGCATTGTAGTCATACAGATGAGTTCTTTAGTGTGCGGGTTGCTGTTGGGCCCAGAACTATTGGACTTGATACTGTGCTCTCTTCTATATTATGTTAACAAGAGTGTAATAGTATATGTCTACGGATGACTATTATGTGTCTAGTATGCATTATTCCTTATTAGGTAATTAGGACTTACCTTCCTACCTAATTATGTTTATAGTTTGTAACGGTGTCACATATCCGTGATCCGTTACAACAGTCTACCGCCAACTCATCGGTGATATTAGTGTTACGCGCATTTAATACTTTATAGGTAATATAAATAATTATAGTTAATTAAAATCTAGGTACCTGGTGACTGAATATAAAAAATCAAATTCTTACCTCTAGTAAAATATAAATATTTGTTTAAATTTAAATTTAATTTGTATAGGCTCTAAGCGAAATGATGAATTTATTGTTTTTATATTGATGTGTGTGTGTGTGTGTTTAATGAATATATTATATAAAAATATTACAGAATTAGGCTAGGAAAAAAATTGGCTTAAAAATCTACAATAATGAATTATTATAGTGCTGCAAAGTTAAATAACATTCCTTTTCAATTATATTTTCACCTCAAAATATAATTATTTATTACTTATAAATTGTTAGTGTAATAAAGAGCGTATTTTTAGGTTCTTTTTAAGGTTAACAACATGATTCTAATACGCTCAAAAAAAAGTTTAAATTATTCTACAGATTCATAGTCCTTATAGGTACACTGATTAAATATGATTTTTTGCATCAAATAATTTAAAATTCTCTACATAAATGTTATATTAAGAAACAAATATATAATAGTAAAATTAGTAGTAGGTAGTCTACTTTAAGCTTTATACATGAAAATATTTACATTAATAATATGCTCACACTTGAAAATAATTATGGCACATATTTTCTGTGGTAAATTATTTAAATTTAGCCTCATTGAAACAATTAAACAATATCCAATTTAATTACCAACAAGTCATTGAACTATTTCTATAATTTTTCATTTTTTAATTCAAAACATGGTTTTTTTCTTTAAGCTGAATATGCTCCAATTCCTGAAATACCTATGCTTTAATGTGCAAAATACATTTTTTTTACGAATTATGATAAGTCGTCCACATTTTATAAAATTTTTTAACAAAGTCAATATATATATTATGTAAGCACCTGAAAATCCTCTCTTTAGACTTATTTCTATATTGTCAATTAGACTAGGTACTTTATCTGGGTAGGTACTATACCTGCTTTATCGACCAGCGACCACCGTATTTAAAATGTCTTTATCTGCATTTTGTTTGAATAATTTTATTATAAAGTATTTTTTTTAGTAGCCCGATCTGTAGTTGTCCTTATATTGTAGCAACTAGTAGTTATTGATAGTTTATTATAATTCACTTAGTGAGTGACACATTTTCAAAATCCCCATAATAATACAAAAAAACCAATAGAAATGTATTCTTTAAATACACATATACATTTTAAATAGAATATTTTGTATACATTTCGCAATAACCCAAATTTCGAATAAATATTATACTACTATTAATTATTTATGTACAGACGGGTAGACACTTTACAAATAATAATTAACACAATAAATGTATGCGTACGCAGATCGCCACGGTCTTGGGAAATTTATCGCAAGTCACGCTGAATTAAGTAAATATTAATTACTGATAACCGTGGAATTAAATATGCACTAAAAATTCCTAAATAATCCATATTATGCGAAATCATGTAAAACAAACTTAATGAAAATAATTCAAGATTGCATATTTATACCGTTTTATGTATTTGGGTATTAGCAGAGCCGTATTTAGGAATTTGACACCAGAGGGCAACAAAAGAAAAAAACGCCTAATTATTATACAAAATACAAATTGAATATAATATATTGAATATATATATATTGTTATATTTGTGTATATTATTAATACATTAAAAAAAATATTAGATCATTAAATATTGAAAAATATAAAAAATTGGCCGCCCTTTCATATTCAGCCGCCCGGGGCAACAGTACCCTGTAGCTCCCCCCTAAATACAGCCCTGGGTATTAGATACTAGTCATATAGTTTGAAATATATAGTAATAAATAGTACCTGTCCATATTGTGCAAAATATTAAAGTTGTATATAAACAAACGCATACATTTTAGCCTTTAGGTAATTAAATGAAAAAATAATTTAAATAATGATCAGATTATTACTATAATTTTGAATTCAGAATGCAATATATCGATACTTATGAAAACTCGTTGAATTCATAGCCCTGCTAATAACGGTACCTAGTACACTAATAATTCCTACCTAACAGTAAAGATATTATGTTAATTTGTAGGTGGCGTCTCAATAGTGATCATTTTTGCACTCCATAGGTTTGTAACAAACTTAATTGTTTGCATATATAATATTGTAGGTATACATAACATTTATTTCATTACCATATCAATATAAATCCTACATTTCTGTAGCGTGTGGTGATATTTGAAGCTATTGGTAAAAAAAACCTGTTTCAAATGTTGCCTAATTGGTAATGTTGCCAATTATATTTTATAGAAAACCGAATAAAAAGATTTAATAACAATTAAAGCTTAAATGATACCTATGACCTACCTATATATATCGAACAAGTAATATTATATTATGTATGTGAAAACCGCAGTCGGTAACCCACGTGTGGCGCTCA